TAGAGTTAGAACCGGGGGCACAGCCAACAGTACAGCGACAGTTCGGACTGACCCAACCCGAACTAGACGAACTAAGGAAGCAGCTAGATTATCTGCTTGAGAAATAATTTATTCGCCCGAGTTCGTCACCCTTCGCAGCACCGATACTGTTCACGCCGAAAAAAGACGGGGGTTTTCGCATGTGCATTGACTCCCACGCACTGAACAGGGTTACCATCAAGTCCCGTTACCCCATCCCACGAGCCGACAAACTGATCGACCAACTGCGAACAGCCCGTGTTTTCTCGAAAATCGACCTTCGAGAGGCTACCACCAGATCCGAGTCAACCCACCCGACTGCCCAAAAACACCCTTCCGAACACGCTACGGATCCTTCGAATACATCGTCATGCCCTTCGGACTGACCAACGCCCCTGCCACTTTTCAAATGACCATGAACGAAGCTTTTCGCCCGCTCTTAGATAAGTGCGTCATCGTCTACTTAGACGACATACTGATTTACAGCCCAGACAGAGCACAGCACCTACAAGACATCGAAGCAGTTTTTAAAATCCTGAGTGAGAACCGACTACTGACAAAAGCCTCTGAGTGTGAGTTTTACAGGACATAGTGGAGTTTTTGGGACACATTATTTCGGCTGAAGGAGTGGAAATAGACCCGAAGAAGATCGCTATGATTAAAGCGTGGCACGCGCCGACAAATTTGACCGAGCTGCAGAGCTTTTTGGGGTTCATCAACTACGTGCGCCGGTTCGTCCCCGACATGGCGAAGTTGACTGCTCCGTTGACCGACCTGCTGAGGAAGGGGGTTGAGTACACGTGTGGGGAGAAAGAGCAAGCTGCCTTCTCGGCCCTCAAACAAATTTTGTGCTCGCCGCTCGTGCTTCACATTGCAGATCCGCACCGTCCGTTCGAGCTCGTCACCGACGCTAGCGACATCGCCGTGGGAGCAATACTGTTGTAGGACTTCGGGAACGGCCTCCAGCCAATCGCGTACGAGTCCCGCAAGCTTCACCCGCCCGAACGCAACTACCCGATACACGACCGCGAGATGATGGCGATCGTGCACGCGTTCAAGGTGTGGCGATGTTACCTCACGGGAGCAGACGTGACAGTACGGACAGACCACCGATCCCTACAGTACCTTCGCGCCCAACCAAATCTCAACTCGCGACAGATCCGCTGGTTGGACTATCTGGAGTCCAACTTACACTACACAGTCACGTACAAGAAAGGCGCATCAAATATCGCCGACGCACTCACACACCCCACAGCCCAACTCCACGCCATCCTACTCGCCCAAACCAACCCGCTGTTAACAGGCCTATTCACCCACGGATACAGTACCGACCCGTTTTTCACGACCGGAATTTCACAGCAACTGGTAGAAGCTAAGGGAGTCTATTACGTAAAAATAGGCACCAACCGCATCTGGGTACCCGCGTACTCACTACTGAGGGAACTGCTCCTGCAGGAGGCACACGACGGAATTACCTCGGGACATTTTGGAGTAGAAAAAACGCGACAGCAACTGCAGCGGTACTAATACTGGCCGGAGCTATTGACCAACGTACAGCACCACGTGGGCTCGTATCCTACGTGCCAGGTGATGAAGAGCTCGCGAAAAAGAAAGGCGGGTCAGTTGCAGCCGATTCCACCTCCCGAGCGCGCCTGGCAGCAGGTTAGCATGGATTTCGTCACGGGGTTACCTTCGAACCCTTGGGGTAACGACGCGGTAATGGTCGTCGTTGACAGACTGACGAAAATGGCTTACTTCGCTTCGTGCAAGAAATCGATCTCAGCCGGAGAAACCGCTCACCTGTTCATCGCAGCCGTCATTCGACTGTACGGGATACCAGCCATGATAATCAGCAACCACGACACGAAGTTCACCAGCAACTTCTGGAAGAACCTTTGGGAGCAGTTCGCGACCAGGCTACAGTTCAGCTCATCGTACCACCCCGAGACCGACGGTCAAACGGAACGGACCAATCAGACGATGGAGCAGTTGATTCGGGCCACGTGCGACGACCCGATATCATGGGAACAGCAGCTCCCGCTGATCGTGTTCGCCTGCAACAACGCCACGCCAGCGACAACGTAGCAGTGCCCGTTCTATCTGAACTACGGGCAAAACCCTACAGTGCCCATGACGCCGAGTCCGGATAACCCAACGCCACGTGCACAACAATTCACCGAGATTCTGCAAGCTGCCCGCAGTAGAGCCGCCGAAGCAATTAAAAATGCCAACACCATCGCTATACGCAATGCTGACCGCCACTGCCGCCCAGTCAGGAGATTACGTACTGCTCAACACATAGAACTGAAGACTGCCCGTTGTGCCGAAATTACGACCGCGCTACTGTGGACCCTTCCAAATCAGCCACATGATAACCCCAGTCACCGCCCACTTACTGTTGCCGACAGACTGGTACATCAGCCCATCATTCCACGTCAGCCTGCTTCGCCCCTACATCCCAACCACGAGCTAGCTACTTCGTCACCGCCCGCCATCCATGACTCGCTCTGTATCGGAGCCGATGATCGAGCCCGAAAACATTCTGAGCCATCGGATTCGACACCCTACGAGAATCAGGAGGATCGAGTTTCTCGTTCGCTGGAAGGACCGCACGCCAACTGAGGATAGCTGGGTGCCCCTAGCCAACATTGAAAACCACCCTGCCCTGCAAGTGTACCAGAGGAGCCGGGGTTTCCGCGATATACATGCACTCGCGTAGCGGAGGGGGCTTCTTGAGAAGGGGGGGGGGGGGGGGGGGGGGGGGGGGGGGATAAGTAAGGAATTTTCTTGACATTCCTTACCGCATCCTGCAACATCGCGTACAACAGCAGCTGTTGTTCGCCCGTTACTGCTAACGGGGCTTCGCCGACTTCGCGCGCACTGTTTCACCAAACCATGCACCGCTGGCCCGGCTGTGTCGGCCTACGCTTTGGGACTAGCCCGAGACTCAATGTCAGCCTAGCACTAGCTAGCTCGCACGCACCGTGTTACCGTTCGCATGTTTCGAGTATAAATGTTCGCTCATGCATTCGCTCACATTTTGTACTCGTTTGGAACTCTAGTGCAATCCTCGCTACCTCGATTCATTGCACCCGTAACAGACATAGAATATATGTAGGTTTTACTCCCCTAAACCTTACTGTAAGCATCATAGAGAGGTTCTTTCAGAATTACACTAGAAAGGCCTGGTTTTGGTCTTATCGAACCTCCCTGATAACGAATCGAACCGGCCCTGTTCAAGGGCTATCAGGAACCGGTACCGAAGTTGGCCACTTTGTCAGTTCCGAACCAGATTTATGGCGAACCGGTTCGGTTCGATATAAAAAATTTCCGAATCAACCAGGTTCGGTCATTGCTCATGCCTACTCACGACTGCCTAATGGCGTTCGCGATTCTGGGACGGAACGGAAGTTGGCTGCGGTCCCCGCCCGCTGCTGCGTCAGCAGCACGCTTCCCACAGGCAGCTGCGGCCTCGGGGTCCCGGGCAGGGCCCAAATGGTCGGCCCTCCAATTTCTCGCTAGGTGGTCGGCCTAGTGCCCGAGTGCCACGCTGGCGGGTTCCCTTCGCGCGGCTGCGGGTTACGATGGCGAGGGCATCGGGTCGGTCGGGTCTCTTCGAGCCAGGCCTTCGGTAGAGAAGGGCTTTCGCCGGCGCCAGGGGAGATTCCCCCTAGGGATATCTCGCATGGCAGGGCAGTCTGCCTCGCAGACTGCCAGCGCGCTTTTTCACCTTTCCCGTCCGAATGTCCCCTGCTTCACGTGCGCGGATACATGGAACGTATGTATTGCAGTATGCATTTCTGACACGTCATCGCGGTTTGCCTAGTCTTCGGATTCATTCTCGCCAAGGCTCGCCATCCGTTGCATCCACTTCGGTAGATGGTTGCGATTATGGCGTTACAGCACGCCACCACCGGCGGCAAAGCCACCACATGCTCGTGTCATTTCGAACATCATCTCAAACTTCGTCGATCTCAGTCTTGCGGAGTAGTTCGGTAGTAGCCCACGGTGGTGCTGCTGGTCGTAGCCTGACAGAGTTCGTCTTTCTCTTGCGCGCGCACGGCACGCGCCAAACAGGAAAGCGGGGAACGGAGGAGGGGGAGCAGGGGGGTGCTACCAGCGGGTGACGAAGGCGCGGGGAAAACCGCGAAGAGTGTAAGGGAAGGACGCGGCGGCCTTTTGAATAAAGAGCTGATATAAAATGGACAAGGCGGGGAGTACGTTGACTAGAACACCAGCAAGATCGAGAACAAGAACAGCAAGAACAAGCAAGGACAAGAGCAAGAACTGCAAGAACAGCCTTGACCCGCCTTTCGTCTCCGCATCGGCCCACTGCTTTTCCTTGCCGCGCGTTGGGCTCCGCCATGGATCCCATACAGTCATTCGCTGACCTTTTCGGCACGCCCCGTCCAGCCGCGACTTTTTTGCTAGCTAGCTTCGCGTTCGTCCCGATTGCGTGGCTTCACAGATTCATCTCATCGCCTTCACTCCGCCATCTGTACTGCACAGTAACGGGACTGCTTCTATCGGCGTTCGTGTTCGGATGGACGGCGGACGCGCACTTCTTCGTGTGCATGCTCTACTCCATGGCCGTAATGCGGCTGTTTCGTAGAAAATGCGGCGTCCTAACGTTCTTCGGAACGTTCGCGTACTTGATTGGGTGGTAAGTTCCCCTTCTCGTCGTTCTCTACTTCTTGGTGTTTCTTTGGTTCTGGAATCATGAGTCAAGCCGCACAAGGTCAAGACGGTACTAGCAGCCTTTGGGGCAAACCTTTGCACCCAAGGCTTTAAGTGCCTTCTGTGTCATTGCCAGCCGTCTAGTTTCCCCTCTTTGCATCCTCTTCCAGCTAACGTTCATCCCTCAGTACTTTCGTGCGAACATACCTCCGTCTCCACATTTCCCGCTTCAAACTTCCTTAACCCACCGACGTTGACTTGCTGACGTGTATTTCCCTCGTTCAACGCGATCCAACCTCCTGCAGCCACGTCATCATGCGGACCCACGAGACCCGCACGGAGGGCGTGCTCGACTGCACAGGCGCGCTCACCGTCCTCGCTACAAAGCTCTCCGCTGTTGCGTATAACTACCAGGACGGGCTCACGCTGCTCAAGGAGAAGGACGAAGGCGCGCAAGCTAAGGACGAGAAGGAGAGGAAGGAATTAACGGAGGAGCAGAGGCGGCGGGAGGAGCGGATGGAGCGTTCGCGATTGGAGCGGCGAAACGCGGCGCTGGTTACCATGCCGTCGGTGCTGGAGCTGATGGGGTACCTGTTCTGCTTCGGGCTGCACATAACAGGCCCGTTCTTTGAGTTCAAGGTGTACAATGACTGGACGCGACGACAAGGGGTACGCTTTCAATCGTGACATGCCTCCACATGCACGTGCATATCCTAATCAATGTATCCCTATCCCTATCCATATCCATAGCCGTAGCCATACATATCCATATCATCGTCTGTGTTGTGACGCCATGTTTCGGGCTCTCGTGCTCCTACTTTTCATCTTCTTGTGTCGAACCTCCCCTCCACTTTTCATCTCGTCCGTTCCGTCTTCCTACATTTCATCTCGCCTCTCCTCACAGTGCACTTAATATGGACCTTCACACTGAAACTGCTGTCCGTTCGTCTGCCATCCTTCCATGCATTCGTTCATGGCATCATCTCCACACGCGCACCTCGCCTCACCACTCTGCACGTTCCCACCCACCCACCCCGCTCCTCACCACCTGGAGATCTGGTCCCCGGGTCTCAAGCAGCCATCTGTCCTCCCGCCCTTCTTCCACGCGTTCATCCTTAACCTCACTCTTCCGTCTGTTGCCATCCATGCCTCCCCTGCAGATCTGGTCGCCGGGTTTCAAGCAGGCACCCATCCTGCCGCCCTTCTGCCGCGCGTTCATCCAGGGCGTCCTTGCAGCGACCGTCTTCCTGCTTGTGTCCCCCTCGCTTGACCTCACGCGCATCAGCGACCTGCGCAAGAACCGCTCCTTCCCCTTCCACCTGCGCTGGCTCTACGCGCACCACGCCGGCGTCGTGTGGCGCTTCCGAGCGTACATCCTCTGGAGCATCACCGAGGCTGCCATGATCGTTGGTCGCCTGGGGTTCAGCGGCTGGGAGGCCCCCAATGGGGAGACTGGAAAGGGCGGGGACGTGAAGGTAAACGGGGGGGAATCGGAAGGGGGGAAGGGGAATGGGAAGGGTGGCGGGGATGGGGATGTAGGGAAGCATGAGGGCGATAAGACCCGTGCGGCGCCTGCAGGGGAGGGAAAGGCGCTGTGGAACCGGGCTCGCAACGCGGACATGCTGGGGGTTGAGTTTCCCAAGAGCTGCCTCGACTTCGCCACCACGTGGAACATTTCCTACGGTCTCTGGCTCAGGCTCTGTGAGTCCACGCCGCACGGCACCTTCACCTCTCGACCTCCCTGAATCTCTTTGAACCACTCTGTAGCTCTCTGCACCTCTTTGGACCTCTCTGAACCGTTCCTCGACCTCTGGGAGTTTGAGCATCGCTCTTCAACCGTTCGTGTGCATGTGCTCCCTGCCTTCTAGTCCTTTCCTCTTTGGCTGGCATACACATGCTCCGTGCTCCGTGCTCCATGCTCCGTGCTCCATGCTCCGTGCTCCATGCTCCATGCTCCGTGCTCCATGCTCCATGCTCCATGCTCCGTGCTCCATGCTCCGTGCTCCATGCTCCATGCTCCGTGCTCCATGCTCCGTGCTCCGTGCTCCGTGCTCCATGCTCCATGCTCCGTGCTCCATGCTCCGTGCTCCATGCTCCGTGCTCCGTGCTCCGTGCTCCGTGCTCCGTGCTCCGTGCTCCGTGCTCCGTGCTCTGTGCTCCGTGCTCCATGCTCCATGCTCCATGCTCCGTGCTCCGTGCTCCATGCTCCGTGCTCCATGCTCCATTCTCCGTGCTCCATGCTCCGTGCTCCATGCTCCATGCTCCGTGCTCCATGCTCCATTCTCCGTGCTCCATGCTCCGTGCTCCGTGCTCTGTGCTCCATGCTCCATGATTCAACTGCATGCTTCATGTATCATGATTGTGCCATGCTTCACCATGCGACATTGCTTCATTCTTCATGCATCATGCGGCGTGCTTGTCCGCTGCTCCCTCGTGACTTCCTGCCATCCGTCCACTGCTGGTCACCTGCGCTGCGCCCTGCACAGACGTGTACAAGCGCATGGTGCCGCCCGGCAGGAGGCCCACCTTCGTCCACATGCTCGCCACCATGCTCGTCAGCGCCGTCTCCCATGTGCCTCACTCCTACTCCCCATGCTTCTCTCCCCCACGTGCGTCACCCCTATCTGCCATGTTCATGGCCCCGTGCCATCTCGCTCGAAGGATCGTTATCTCTGCGTCACCCTGTCCTGTTCCCATTCACGTCACCCCACCTCACTCTCATGCCAGCAGCCACAACGTTGTTGCTCATATATTGGCACCCAAGGCCAATTTGTGCAAACTGCTTTTGCAATTTCTGGTATCTTAACAACCACTGCAGCTTTTAGCGATCAGCGTATATATCCTTGGTTCCATTAGAGCAAGCTTCTTATTCTCTGAGTGTACAGAACCTTCTACTTGCCCCATGCACGCAGAGCCATATGCACGCAGAGCCATATGCATTGCTGATTTCAGTTGCACCTTCTGTGTCAGATTATTTGTTGATTTCAAAGGCTGTGTCTCCCGCTGCATAATCTCCCGACCATGTGCACTTTTTCCGAACCCCCACTTTGTGTTACCCACAGGGCTTGAATTGGGGTGACTTCATATTTTTTGCCAATTGGGCGCTTGCTGTTGCCAGCTCTAAAGGTGTGGACACACCCCAAAATTGATAGTTGCATGAATATAGATTGAAGATCACTACAATCCTGCTATCTCCTGCACTTCTGACAAGTTTTTTTTTTTCCCCTCTCGTTCAGTTTCCATGTTCATTCGAGTACTTCCATCCAATTGCCATTCATTCTTCCGGGCCTGTTTTCTTTTCCATACCCATCCATTTCTACTGTGCATTCCCATTTCTCTTGCCATATCCATTTTCCATTCCTACTCGCACTACCACTCCCACCACCATTGCATACCCAAATCCCATACCCATTTCCCTTTCCCGTTTCTTGACCATGGGATCATAACCTGTTACTTGGGCACACCATTTCCTGCAGACTTGCGCTCAAATTCATCTCTCTCAAATCCTCTGCTCCGCTTCCCTTCGTTCATCTTCCCTCTCATGCAGCCGTCTGCCAGGTCACTGCTGGAATGGAATCCCCAAGGGCACCATCACCCACCGCATGGCAACGAGGTGACTTTTCAGTCGGCTCAAAAGTCACCTCCCTTCCCCTTCATTCCCCTTCCCTCTCATGCAGCCATCTACCAGCTCACTGCTGGAATCGCCAAGGGCACCAACACCCACCGCATTGTAACGCTTCTTCATACCCTCTATAGCATCTTCGTCTGCAGCTACTTGGCCAGTGCCTTCTGCGTAAGTGTGCATGTTTTCACCTTTTTCTTCTTCTTCAACTTTCTTATTTTCTTTTCATGGAACTTCCAGTAAACATCGCTGCTGGGGCCGTAATTTCCACTATGGGCCTCCATGCATCTATACTGCCCAGTGCTTCATGCGCATTGCTTCTCTCGTTTGACTGTGTTTGCTATGGCTGTTCAAGATGCAGGTAATGACACTATCGGGAGCATACTCAGCCTATAGTGGCATGTACTATACTGGTACTGTCATCCCGATTCTCTTGATTTTTCTGCCAATGATGTACAAGCCTCGCCGCCCAAAGACTGTCAAGACACAGTAGCACATAGCTACGCCCATTGGATGGGTTTGTAAGTAGGACCCTTATACAATTTGAACTTTGGTAACAGTGTAAATGATAAGTACTCAAGTTAAGAAACGTGGAAGTGTGCATGCATTGCTGTAACACACTAATGTCTTGTTGACTCATCACATCATAACTGTACCTTACAATCTTGCCTTGACTCATGCTGTTGATTACTGAGTCATGCGGTTGCCATATGTTTCCGTTGCCCTCCGACACATACAGCTGGTCGATGACCATGCAGGCGTATTGTTACCTTTAATTCTGGTGCCCATTTGTCCTGGGGGCAAGAAACGTGTGGAGTATGTGGCGCATTCGCGGATCAAGAGCAAGAGGGCGGACACTTGGGGTTGGGGTTGCTGAGGAAGATGGTGTGTCCGTAGATGCAACAAATGGGGATGTGAAAGGGGTGGATGCAAGAGGCCTGGAGAAGGTTGATGCGTTGTAAGAAGATGAGCTGTGTGGCAGCCTTTGTTACACTCTTGGTATCACTTAATGGATTGCAGTGTGCTGGTCTTCAGGGGTGGCAGCAGGTGTGACACGCTGATATTGTAGTAGGATCTGCATTATCAAGCCTGGCAGCAAGGGGTAGTGAAGCGCTTGTTGCAAGATACAAGTGACGGAAGGTCTTTTAGTAGCGGTTGCAAGAGGTGTGGCCGCAGGTGCTGTGCCTGGGAGTGCGAGGGGCTGCAGGTTCAACGATGAACGCGGTCTAGATGCGGAAAGTCACTCTACAACAGAGCTGGACTACGGAGGAAAGCATGAGTTGTATGAGTGATCGCAACGGTCCTTACTGTTCTCTCTGCTTGCTCATTCACAAGGAGAATTGACAAGAATCCCACTAGCAAAGTTGGCATTGCAGAATGAGTAAACAAGCAATGGCAAGCGCGACTACATCAGAGCCTAGCAACCTAGTAGTCAAACTGGCCGACCAACCACGCAGCAAGATCGGCACTCTGCCAGCGTTGCGTAGAGGCAGCGCTGTCAAACTATATATGTGTTAGTTCTGTGTAGGCTATAGTGGGGTAGCCCATGTGGGGTACAACCCAATGTTAGGGTTAGTACTTGTACCCACAATTCATTCAATGCAGTCATTCTAGCTTCTCGTTCTGACATGGTATCAGAGCAGTAGGTCCGTAGGACCGCTTTTTTTTTTCGGGCCCACCATTTCGACTACGGTTACCGCGTTACCCCATTGCCCTACCCCGCGTCGCGCTGCCCCGAGCACGCCACCTGCGCGCTGCCCCTGCTGGCCGCGCGCCACTGCTGCAGCGTGCGTTTTCTCTAGCGCGCTGCCCTGCGTGTAGCCCCACGCGCCGCCTGCCCCTGCCGCGGCTGCCTGCTACACCCCGCCCGCCACCCGGCGCGCTGCCCTGCAGCCCCGTGCGCCGCCCGCCCTGCTGCCGCGGCCGCTCGCTACGCCCTGCGCGCAGCCCGCCCTGCTGCCCTGCCGGCCGCCTGCAGCCCCGCGCGCCGCCTGCCACTGCCGCGGCCGCCCGCTACGCCCCGCGCGCCGCACGCTCTGCTGCCCTGCCGGCCGCCTGCAGCCCCGAGCGCCGCCTGCCACAGCCGCGGCCGCCTGCTACGCCCAGCGCGCCGCCCGCCCTGCTGCCCCGCCGGCCGCCTGCTGCCCCACGCGCCGCCTGCCACTGCTTCGGCCGCCCGCTAGGCCCCGCGCGCTGCCTGCCCACTAAGCCCGCGCGCCGCCTCTGCGCCTGCCCCTATTGCAGCCGCCCGCTTCAGCCCAGCGCGCCACCCCTGCTACTGCTGCTTTCCTGCAATCGCTCTGCCCTGCCAGTCCCGCGCCAGCAGCTATGGCCACCCTCCACGTTCTGTCGTTTGATACTGAGGGCCGCCCGATTCAGTTTGAGACCTGGCTCGATGACCTGCAGCTGTTCCTAATGAGCGATAGCAAGGACACTGTCTCCCTCTTTGACCACAGGTCTGGTGTCTCAGTCGCTCCTGCCGCCACAGCTGAGCTTAGTGCCCGTTCCCAGTGGCAGATCCGTGACGCTGCTGCTCGCCTAGCTGTTCGCAACCACCTGCCGTTAGCCGAACTCACGCATTTTGGCAAGCACAAAACCGCTAAGGCCCTGTACGACGCTCTAGTTGCTCGATACTCCTCCCCTGCCACTGTTGCGCTTAGCCGCCTCATGCTGCCCTACCTATTTCCTGAGCTGTCCACCTTTGCCACAGTTGCCGATCTTATCACCCACCTCCGCACCAGTGACACTCGCCTTCGCGCCGCCCTCCCCAAAGAGTTCTTAGCTAAGAACCCGCCTCCGATGTACTGGACCCTCCACTTCATCGTGACCCGTCTCCCTGACTCTCTTCCCTCGGTCAGGGACCACTTTCTCGCTCGCTGTCCCACCGATCTCACTGTCGACCTCCTAGAGGAGCAGCTTCTAGCCGCCAAGACTAGCATAGTCACTGTGGGTGCTGCTCGTGGTGCTCCTCGCACCCCCATCTTTGAGGGGTGCTCTCCCTCTCCCCTCGCCCCCTCCTATGCTACTGCCACTGCTGTTGACTTCCTTGGTGCTGAGTCTGCTGGTGCTGCTTCTGCTCCTAGTGGGAGGTGCCGCAATGGCAAGGGCAAGGGAGCCAAGAGTAGCGGAGGTGGCACTAGGGGGGGTGGTGGTGGAGGAGGTGGAGGAGGAGGAGGTGGCGGAGGGAGTGGTGGCGGGAGTGGTGGCGTTGGCGGCGGCGGTGGGAGTGGTGGTGGAGGCAGTGGCGGCGGAGGGGGTGGCGGAGGCGGTGGCGGTCGGGGCGGCGGTGGAGGCGGCGGTGGCGGTCGGGGCGGAGGCGCTGGCGCTAGCCAGAGACAGCAGCAGCAGCAGCAGCGTCCCTGTGAGGCTCTTACGCCCCAGCAGCTTCGTGAGTGACTTGCTCAGCGTGGGACGTCTGGAGGTAGTGGTCGCTGCCCGTATGTCATTCGCACAGGTGTCCGCGCTGGTCAGACATGCGGGAAGTTCCACACCTAGCACCGCTGCTTCTCCCGCCTTGACGACGCCTGGCGTGAGGAGATGGGCGAGGAGGTCGAGCGCCCTTGCTGGCATGAGCTGCTTAGGGCTGGTGTAGACATCTTTGCTCTTGACTTTGATGCTATCCTTGCTGCCATGTATGCATTGACTGTTAGTGCTGAGGGAGACTGTTACTTGTGTGTGCCGCCTGGCCCAGGTATAGAGGCTGCTGCCTTAGGTGAGAGCGAGTCTGCTCTCTCAGGTACTGCGCCTGCTGAGGCCTTGCACACCTTCACGCTTGACTCAGGCGCTTCCCGCTGTTTTTTTCGTGACAGTATTGCACTCACTCCACTCACTGCACCTGTTGCAGTCTCTCTGGCTGACCCCTCAGGGGGCCCAATTCTTGCACGGTCCACCACTGTGCTCCTGTGCCCGGCGGTTCCGTCTCGCTCACTGTCAGGCCTCCACCTCCCCTCGTTCTCTACGAACTTGGTGATCAATGCAGTTCTCCAGGACCAGTGTGTTGACACCTTTCCCCCAGGAGGACAGCGTGTGGCGATCTGTACGTGCTCCCGGACCGGCCGCCACCTGGCCACGTTTACCCGTCGGCCAGGGTCGAGTCTTTACACACTGACGACTGCGCCTCCTCAGGTAGCTGCCACTGGTCAGGTGTCTGCGTCAGGTCAGGTAGCCTCCCCTTGTTCGTGTCGCTCCTTGTCGCACCAGACTCTTCTCTAGCACCACCATCTGGGTTACCCCTCCTTGCCACGTCTTCATGGCATGCACCGTCGCCTCCTTGTCTGGTCTTCCCAGGTCTCTCCCTCCCCTCCCTGCCTCGCCTGCGCCGCCCTGCCTTCCCTGTGTCGAGGGGCGGCAGCGCGCCGCTCCTCACTCCTCCTCGTTTCCACCGACAAAGGCTCCCCTGCAGACCCTCCACATGGACGTGTGGGGCCCAGCCCCCGTTCGTGGACGGGGCGGCGAGCGGTACCTTCTGCTGGTTGTCGATAACTACTCGCGTTACACCACGGTCTTCCCCTTGCGCACCAAGGGTGAGGTCCCTGCTGTCCTGATCCCTTGGATCCGAGCAGTTCGTCTCCAGCTCCGCGAGCGGTTCCGCCAGGACCTCCCTGTCCTTCGTCTGCACTCTGACAGAGGTGGTGAGTTCTCCTCTGACCTCTTGCGAGACTTCTGCTAGGGGGAGGGCATCCTCCCGTTGTTCACGCTTCCGAGCTCACCGCGAAAAAATGGGGTTGCTAAGCGCCACATTGGCTTGGTCATAGCGATCGCTCGTACCTCCTTGATCCATGCGGCGGCTCCCCATTTTCTGTGGCCGTTTGCGGTCTGGTACGCCACGCAGCAGCTCAACCTCTGGCCCCGTGTCTCCTTGCTGGAGACCTCGCCCACACTGCGTTGGACGGGAGAGGTTGGCGATGCATCAGTGTTCCGGATCTAGGGTGCTCTTGCCCTTGTCCGCGATACGTCCGCGGACAAGCTCTCCTCTCGCACCATTCCCTGCGTCTTCCTCGGCTTCCCCCCTGATGCGCCTGGCTGGCAGTTTTACCACCCCACCTCGCGCAGTGTTTTGTCCTCTCAGGTTGTCACCTTTGACGAGTCGGTTCCTTTCTACCGTCTCTTCCTCTACCGCACTGCCCCTCTCCCTCCCCCGCCGCTTTTCCTTGCTCCAGGTCCCCCTCCGGTAGACCCCCTCCCCCCTCAGGGTCCTGCTCCTTCAGGTGTGTCTCAGGTAGACCCGCTCCCCTTGGCTGAGCCTGTACAGGTCACTAGCGACTCAGGTGCTGCTGCGGGTGGTGCTGCTCGGGGTGCTGCCTCTGTGGGTGTTGAGCCTGTGTGTGAGGTGCTGGGGGGTGCGGACCCTGGGGGTGCTGAGCCTGCGCGTGCGGAGCCTGGGGGTGCTGAGCCTACGAGTGCGGAGCCTGGGGGTGCTGAGCCTACGAGTGCGGAGCCTGGGGGTGCTGAGCCTACGAGTGCGGAGCCTGGGGGTGCTGAGCCGGAGGGTGCAGGGTCTGGGGGTGCTGAGTCTGCTGGCGTTTCTCCGGGTTTTTTTTTCCCGACGGGGGCCTCTCTCACCACAACAGCTACGAGAGTGGCTTACGTGGCGTGCCCGCCTGAGGTTTCGTGCTGCTCGAGCTGGAAGTCCTGCTGCTGGAGGTGCTGTTGCTCGAGGTGCTGCGGTTGGAGCTGCTGGAGCTGCTCGTCGTGGAGGCGCTGAGAGTGCTGGTGTTTCTGGTTCTGGAGGTGCTCGTACTGGAGGTACTGGAGCTGCGAGGACTGGTGGTGCTGCTGGAGCTGGAGGTGCCGGTTTTGGGGGTGCTGCAGCTGGAGGCACTGGAGCTGGAGGCCCTGGAGCTGGTACTGTCGACCCTGGAGTTGGAGACCCTGGAGCTGGAGGTGCCGGTTCTGGAGGCACTGGAGCTGGAGGTGCTGGAGCTGGAGGCGCTGGAGCTGGAGGCGCTGGCGATGGAGGCGTCGGGGCTGGCGGCCCTGGAGCTGGAGCTGCTGGTCCTGGAGGTGCTAGTACTGGCCGTACTGGAGCTGCCGGTGCTGGTGGTGCTGCTGGTGCTGGAGGTGCTGGTGGTACTGGCCCTGCTGGTCCCGGAGGTGCTAGTACCGGAGGTGCTGGAGCTGCCGGGGCTGGTGGCGCTGCAGGCTCTGGAGCTGGAGGCGCTGGCGCTGGAGGCGCTGGCGCTGGAGGCGCTGGAGCTAGAGGCGCTGGAGTTGGAGGTTCTGGAGCTGCTGGAGGCGCTGGAGCTGCTGGTGCTCGTACTGGAGGTGCTGGTGCTGGTGGTGCTGCACAGCAGCGACTGTTCTTCGCTCTGCTGTCACCGTCGTCTCTGCCACCGCCTGACTTCGTGCTTCACCAGGTTCTTAGCCTCTCGTCTTCTACTGGCCTCCCGTTACAGCCAGGCTCTCCACTCCCTGCTCCTTCTCCTTACACTGAGCAGACAGACTTGATTATAGAACGTCATGACCCTGTGTCTCGTCCTGCCTCGCTTGTTCGCGCTGGTCGCACTGGTCGTCGTGTTCCTCGTGAGCGTCCTCCTCCTGTCCCCGGCACGCACACTATGGCACTCCGTCCTTCCTCTGTTCCACAGCGTGTTCCCCTGCCATCTCCTCTTGCATCCTCTCTTCTTGCCGATCTGGACCCTGAGTCTGACTTAGTTCATGCTGCCAGTCCTACTTTTATGCGTCTCCTAGCCACTGTTGTCACTGACCCTTCGTTTGAGTCCACTGCTGCGTCTGCGTTAGTCGCTGAGCTTGTTGACTTTGCTGCTGCTTATCGTCTCGACTACGCCGCTAGTCTTGTTGCTGAGTCTGAGTCTACCAGTCCTCCGTCCGTCGGGGGTGAGTGTGCTCTTGGCACAGACATCCTTGAGGACAGGCAGGAGGGCTTTGAGTGTTTTGCAGCTGCTGTACCTCATCTCGTGTCCATGCTGATTGCACCTGAGGGAGACCCGGATGCACCAGACATCCCGACCCCGCGCTCTTACGCAGAGGTGATAGAGGGTCCATACTCCTCTCAGTGGCAGTCAGCCATGGACGCAGAGATGGTATCATGGAAGTCCACAGGCACTTACGTTGTCGTAGTTCCCCCACCTGGGGCGAACATTGTCAGTGGCATGTGGATTTTCAGGGTGAAGCGGCCGCCGGGTTCTCCGCCTGTCTTCAAGGCGCGTTACGTTGCACGAGGCTTCAGTCAGAGATAGGGAGTTGACTTCTTCCAGACCTTCTCCCCTACCCTGAAGATGACCACTCTTCGTGTTCTGCTGCACGTCGCCACTCAGCGTGACTACGAGCTTCACTCTCTTGACTTTAGCACAGCTTTCTTGCAGAGCAGCCTGCACGAGGAGATCTGGCTACGGCCGCCTACTTGGCTTCACTGGGTCGTTTTCTGCCGGTACCCAATGGAGCCTCCGGCGGCCAGTCTACGGTCTTCGTCAGGCGCCTTGTGAGTGGCACGACACACCGAGGACGATGCTTGCGGCTCTTGGGTTTGCTCCTTCGACTACTGACCCGTCGCTGTTTCTGCGCACCGACACTTCGCTGCCGCCGTTCTACATCCTCGTGTATGTCGACGACTTGGTCTTTGCCACTGCTGACACTGAGGGACTCGCCCACGTGAAGTCAGAGCTGCAGAAGAGACACACGTGCACAGACTTGGGAGAGCTGCACAGCTATCTTGGCTTGCAGATCACCTGGGACAGAGCACGGCGCACCATTACCCTGACTCAGTCACACATGGTGCACCATGTCCTTCAGCGCTTCCGCTTCACGTACTCCTCGCCACAGTCCACTCCTCTGCCTACCCGACACTCGATCTTAGCTCTGCCTTCGGATGAGTCCGTAGAGCCGAGTGGCCCGTATCCACAGCTAGTGGGCTACCTCATGTACCTGATGACCTGCACTCGACCTGACCTTGCTTACCCTCTTAGCATCCTGGCACGCTACGTTGCGCCCGGGAGACACCGACCAGAGCACTGGAAGGCCGCTAAGAGGGTGTTGCGCTA